CTGTTTCTTTTCAGCTTGCAAAGTCTTTTGGTGATCTTAGAATGTGTAAGTCATTAACTGTTTCAGTGTCTGACAGCAATCTTGCAAAGTATGCACTTAGTTTTGCATCATTTTTGCATCAAATCCCTGGTCATTTTGGAAGCTTTCTACTTTTCCTGACCATCATTTCCCCAGATTGAGTTTCAGTGCCTTTTCACCACCTTTTCTCATTTCACTTGTGTCTTAAGTGAGCTGCCTCCTTTCAAGCAGAGATGAAGCTGGCTGTTGCTCCTCACCACCGTCAGCCAGGGTTCCCATGAGCCTTCTTTTCTGTCTTCAGATCAATGCTCCCCTCTTCAATAGGTGACTCCTTGGTCTGCTTCTGAGGATGAGCTTCTAGTTAGGACTACCTTTGCTACCCTAGGTGAGAAATTTTTATGAAACAGTGTATAGGTGAATGTGGGAGGTTTTTTGGAAGGCCGTTGAGGGGTCTTACAGATTTGTTTAGCCTGTACCGTAGCTTGAAGGATGTGGTTAAAACATTTCTACTCTACAAGCTGGAAAGGTCACTGTGTTTCTTTAGAATATTTTTGGAGATGTTTCTCTGGTTTTTCAGATCTAAAAATAAACTGTGATCAACACACTTTATAATTATGACAGGATTTTTTTTTTCCCCAAGAGTATATAAGGCAGTTAGATATTTGTTTTCCACTTAGGGAACCAGTCAGATCTACAGACAGGCTATGTAAATCTTCTTCAGAACTCCAGGACTATTTTTTTGGTGTGTGTTCAAAGTTGGGAGCATCTGCCTGCCTATCTGTTCATCTGTCTTATACAGTTTATAGAGCATATAATTTTCTCAACTGAGAGAAGAAGACATTTGTAGTCTTTTCTCCTTGAATTTCTAGGGCAACTGGGGAGCTTTGATCTAAGTTTGTTGTCATTAGAAAGAAGAATCCTGTTAAATAGACCCTATGCATCGCTTGTGTTAATTTCCAGCAAAATGAAGCCGAGAAAAAACTTGTAATTCTTTTGTTCTTAAACATGTCAGTGTTTTGGTTGATTTTGGAAGGGAGAAATGTTGGGGGAGTTTATTTCAAATCCACTTTGTGTCAATGACCTACTGGTCTTGATTGGCCTGAAAAACACTTTTAAAATTTTCACTTTGAGTGACATTTTTTTTAATGTCTGTCACTGTAAGTAGGGCTGAAGAGATGTTTGGAAACCTGGTATTCTTCAAGGAGCAGAAAATCCATTTTCTGGCCCACATCAGGGAACACTTAAAAATATTTTATGATTTGTTTAGAGTCATCAAAGCCTATTGTGTAAAAGCAAATTTGTTAATGCAGTTTTACTGTTTTCTGTTGCTGTAGTTGTTCCTAAACCAAATCCCATTGTTGTGAGTGTCTGCAGTACAGAGCCTTGGGCTGGGTAGTTCAAAAGGTCAGTGTTGGGTACAGCCCACTGAGTTCAACAGGTAGGGACCGATCACTGATGACTTCTTTGGAGACCTTAATTTTGTATCTTCTGTGCTTTTACTTGAGTCCTGTTCTTGAGTGCACATTAAGGTAGGTAGCATAGGCTACAGCTTTGCTACCTGTAGAGGAACGGTAGTTGTTTGTCATGCTTTTTCATTGCTGGGATGGTAGGGGGCATTTCTGAGACAACGGCAGTAAGGATTGAGTCTAGTGAGAGCTTCTTTGGAGACCTAAAGGTTCTCTGAGGGCACTCACACACGAGGGCCTTACCTCCCCTCAGAGCTGCTTCAGGACTACTCTGTGTCTCTTGAGTTTCATTTAAGTGTTCTAACACTAAACAGGTCTCCAAAGTGGTAGTAGTTGGGTTTCTGCCATAACCCCTCAAGCATGTCGCGGAGGGGTGATGTGCCAGTGATGTTTTCAGATGACTCAGGTGTGGGCTGTGTTACCAGGGCCAGCAGGGCAAAGGGTTGCTGCAGGTCATTCCTTCAGGGGTCTTCTGCCTTTCGTAGGGCAGTAACGTTCAGCACTTGTCAGCATTACCAGCAGTCAGATTCTGCTTTGCAGAGTGTCATGGGCAAGAACTGAGGAGACAGACTTATCTACCTGGTCTGCCACATCTAGAGTACAACCGTTAGAAAAGTCACCCTTGCATTTAAAAAAAGCAACATGAGCCTCTCTTTCTGTGGGCTGATTTAAAACCCATCCTATTTTAAACACCATCTTTGACAGTCTTATCTAACACTGGCAGAAAAATAGAGGATGTTGCTTCTCATCAGGACAGAGCCTGCATTTAGCTTTCTTTCAAGTGGCGCAATAAAATATGGGAATAAACTTCAGCTTCCCATGTTTTAATTCTTTTTTAATCCCTGTTTTCATTTTCGAAACTATTTGGATACAAGAAGACATTTTTTGCTCTTTCCACTTCTGATTTGTTTGTTGGAGCACTGCCTGCTCACCCTATTCGGATGTCAAGAGACTCTCTATTTTTCCATTTCTGGAATAGTCATTCACGACTCAGTGGCTCTTGAGCAAACTCTCAGAATTTACAGTGTGTTTATTGGTCTCTCACCAACTGCAGTTTCTGTCTTGTAATATTTTGTTTCAAAGTTTCTCTCAGATACTGTTATATAGATTTTCTTCGCAAAATAATTCTGTTGTAAGCCTAGGAGTTTAAGTGACAATCTTCCTAAAGGATCTAGCTAATTAGCTGATTAAAATATAAGGGCTTTACATAATTTGTTGAAATAGTAGATTTAAGACATAATTGATGGGTTAATACATTTTTAATAGTAAACTAGTGTGGTAAGGATAACAGTTGTGTGCAGCATTGCAGAAAGCACAGTAAAACACAGCTTCTGTGTTGAAGAGACTATGCTCAGGTCCAGGTTTTGCCAATTGTGCTGCACGGATTAAGAGCAGGTTTGTATAAAAGAGCTTGCAAAATCTGGTAAAAGAGGGGAGAACCAATAAACCGGGAGGGATATTTCCTCAGAGTGCAGGTAAGGTGGTTTGACTTTAGAGGTGTTGCTGTGGAAAGGAAGAGTGAGAACGAAGAGGTGTGTGGCATAAACTGGAGCAGAAATAGCGAGAAAGGAAAATGCTGAGGGGGAAGTTCAAGCAGGAAAAGCATATGCAGGAATGACTGAAAGATTAGACTTTGGTGGGTTTTGCATCAGGACCTACTGCTGTTCTGCCCAACACCTAATTAGCCTGGTACAGGGAGACATTAATGGACTTCACAATTGACTTTTTTATTTTTACAGCTATGTAAGTTGAAGGATGGAAGGAAGCTGTAGAAGCGAGTAGAAAGCTGGAATGTGCTATATGTGCATGAGAGTGGCCAGGGCCACTGAACAGTGCAATGAGACAGGAGCAGTGGATGGGAACCAGTATACTCAATCCATTAAATGAAATATCTGCCAAGTCAGACCTGTCACATGACTGCATTTCTCATTTTACTTCCTTTCTTTCTTCCATTAAAGTGTACAGCTTTCAGGTAAGCACTTTTGGGAGACTGGCTCAAAAAGAAAACTGCATCTATGGTTTGGTTTGAGGGCTACTCTTTAAGCCTAATGAACTGGTTCATTAAATTAGGATAATAATTGTGCTTTAGAAATAGCCTAGTTTTAAGCCTGGGCATGAAGTAATTATTTTCTAGAAACCAAGACTGTTTGTGAATCTTTCTTTTCCTGCTGTGGTCCTTTCTGGGTTTTGTCCAGTATGTCCTTGGAAATGTGAGCTCCAGATACACCACGGGACAGCCTATGTTATGTGGTAGCTGCATGTTTCAGAAGAAAATGCTGGAGGACTTGGCTAAATGTGCATGCGGACTCCTGGGTGTTGATCAGTGCCAATTGCAAACATCCTGTTCGGATGCTGATCACTGAGTAGCACTGTAAAGCATCAAGCATAAATCTATCAAACAAGATAGATAGCTTTAACCACTAAAAATGATTCCACTTCCACTCTCATGGTCTTTCTAGATGAGAATTTTCTAAACAGCCAGATACAAATTTGTTTCCAGGGATCTCACAAACCAGATTTTGGTGCCAACTAGTTATTTCAGGCCTATTTAGACTACTGAAAGATGAATTTATAAGGAAGATGTTGACAGATCCTGGCCTCTTGTATCACTGGTGGGAGCCACAATAATAATGATTTCCCTTAATAGTCTTCCATCAAATTTTCAAAGCAGTAGTTTTTCCTTTGGTGCAAAAAAAAAAAAGTGGACAATTTTGTTTTCCTAAACTTGGATGACATCTGTGTTCTCACTATTTCTGTGGGAAAGCAGTACAACCTTTCCCAATTTTATTAAAAAACACCTTTTTAGCTAAAGTGTGTACCATCGCAAGCATTTTAATTCTGTCTCATGTATCTTGTTCTAGGAAGCTGGAGTCTGTGTATTTTATTTCTCCGGGACTTTCTTCCTTTGAGGAATATAGATGAGAACTGTGTTTTTCCTCTCAGAATGCCTTCAAATTGGTTGTCTTCCTAACCTAGACATTATAAGTGTTTCCAATAGTTAAATGACTGTCAGCGATAGTAATGTTTTACTGGCACTTGCGTTGCTCATTGACCCAAACCAAAATCGATGATAATTATAGTGAGCTCTGACATCTGGAAAAAGTTGTAGTGAGTCTCAGTTTCAGTTTAGTTCTTTACATCTTGGGAAAAGCCTCTTGCAGTTGATCTGGGTTGGAAATCTTGAAATCACCTTAGGATGTGCATGTGGAAAGAAGGATATAAGAGACAATGCAGAAGGATCACAGTGTTTCCATTGTTGTACTTTTTGGATTTTGCCCAGTAAGGAAGGCACCCATCTAATATCAACGTAAAGGCTTGTCAGTGCAAGGTAAAAATTGCATGTTAAAATGTGTATCTATGTTCTAAAGACAGTTTGTTTATAAAGCAGTCTTCAGTGCCTGACAGGAAGACTGAAGAAAGATTTGTGCTGGCTTATGGGATCCCACACAGAGCAATAAAGTGCTTTCCAGAGAAAGGACTAGGTTTTCTCTGAGCCATAGAAGGGTAAAACTTATACTCTTCTCAAAGTTTTACGTAAGAGTTTGTGAAAGGGATTGGCCTTGCCTACATGCCTCTCATCACAAATGAAAATAGGCAACCCATCTGAAGGACTGGTCTCACTTACACGGAAACTGTTTTACGTAAGAAGAGGAGGCTGGCCCAGCAAAGGTGTGGTTTTATTTACATCCATGCCCTTTCCTTATGATTGGAGTGTGTTTGGAAGGTGTGGTCTCATTTATATCCCGCCTCAACTGCCTTTGGCTTGCCTGAATTCAACCCTTTCCTGTGGCTGGAAAAGGAACTTCTACAAGCATAATAAAACGGCTGTGTGAAAAACATGACTCTCTTCTGCCTCTTTTTCTTCAGTGTATGTGTTCCTGCTGGTATGTACCTGAAAAGGGAAGGCCATGTTCCTGGGGAGAGAGTTTTGGGTCTGTGTAGGTATGTGTACGTATATGTTTGAAATAACAAGGTGAACATAACAGGTTTTGTGCTATCCTGGGTGTTGGAGGGTGCTAGAGCTGCTGAGGAAAGGTAAGAAAAAGAAGTTCTTCAAAGTAGCTCCCTTTTTTTTTTTTTTTAAGGTGCATGTACAGCTTCTCAAAGGTGCTGCTGACAATTCTGGAAGAAGGCCTATCTTTGGGGTGGGGGGTTGTATGTGTGTGTGTGACATTTCATGTAGTCACTTGCATCAAAGTGAAACCAGTGTAAACATGGTAGCAGCATCTTACATAATCTCTGAACCAGAATAGAAGGCTACAGCAAAGAATATGCAGGGCAATCAGGAAGTGGCTACACTACATGCAGTTGCCATTTAATATTCAGTCCCTTCCTCAACATGTATATGGTGTATATTCAACCCTAAGGGTCACTGTGCCTTGTTTCAGGAAGGAATTCAGTTGTTACTGGCCTCTGTCTGTATTAACTTACTGGGACTACTCTAGTCCTTTGCTATTTTTCTTCTTCCATCCATGGCTGATTAGGCACCATCTTGGTTAATTCTAGTCAGTAAGAAAGGCAGAAGAGATAGTTTGCCGATTTGCCTTTTCTCTTTTTTTCTAGAAAGGAAATTGAAGTATCATGAATCTACAATGCTGGGATTATTTATCCAGACGCATGTACATGAGCATCCGAGTTATTTTCACTGAGAACAGAGCTATGGTGTTGCTTTCATTGTAGGTGGAAAGTGAACAGACAGTCCCTTTGATGTGAAGCTCTGATGTGTGACTGTGTCCAGAAGCACCAGGTACTGAAGGAACCATGACCAATGCACTGAGTCTGGCTGCTTCTGCCACGGCTGGGATTGCTTTGCTGTGACATGCTGTTTCTCAGCACAAGAACAAGGCGCTTCCAAGAAGAGAGCCTTGTGCAGGTCATAGTGGTGTTCTCCAGTTGTTCCCATTGTTGCCTCTGCTGCCTCTGGTTATGCTCCTGTAACTCGTGGCAAAAATCTAGGCATGACAGCCTGAAGATACTAACATTTTCAAGTCATAACTCTTTCAGCTTTAGATACCTCTAAATATCTTTATAGACACCCGGCAAGAGCCATTTCTCCTTTGCCCGCAAAAACTTGGTGAAACTGGAAGTTTAGCTATCTGCCACACTCTGGTTTAGGAGACGAAAGGTAATAAAATATTTCCTCTCTTTTCTGTAACCAAGGCAAGCTGAGGTGCACAAAAATAATTGCATGCCAGTCCACCGCAAGAGGAAAAGTGCCTGGCATTGTGTCCCTGGATTGCAGACAGGTAGGAGAGCCAGAATGTTTGTCGTCAGGATCCCTTGCACGTACTCCGGAGCTGCAGCTGAACTTTTTAAGTTACAAATAGGTATTGCACCATCTGTAAAGACACATCCTCCAGATGATGTAAACTGAGCGATGCACACTGAGAACACCATTGTACATAGGCTTTTTTGCACCCAGGGCAATGACTGAACTAAACTGCCGTGGCAGAAGCTGTGTAAGCTAGCCTGGATTGTGTGCTATGCTATTCTGCTTCTCTGGAGCCAAACTAGGATGCTTAAATAAGGCTTTTGAATCTCTACACTGACTTTCATTCATGGCTTAGGCTGCACTAATAGACATATGCCTCATTTTTAAAATTGGCATAGGTTCTAAAACACAAGGGTGCTTTATAAAATTTTCTGGCTTCTTGATCTTCCTCTTCTCCTTGAACTTTCTTCCTCAGACTTAGTTTCCCTCCTTCATCCCCAGCACTGGCCTGAGCAAACACTCTGGTTACATCTCTGCGGGCAAGTGAAGGTGTTTGTCCTCAGTGGCAGCTCTCTGGTGAATGTCCAGTGGCTGTTCCCTGTGTCCTGACGGATGTGATAACCCTTTAGCTAGTGTACATACACCAAAATAGATTGTTTCTTCTGTCAGAGGAAAGATAGCAAGCTTGTAACTTAAGGAAAAGAGATCCATGGGAGATAAGAGTGTAAGAGACATTACTGAAGTTCTGTATTTGGAATCGGTTACGTATATGTGTGGTAACCCAAATGATGGGTGGACTGTACTTTCTCATTACCATAATTACATTTCCTTTCATAGCTAGGGTTGGGGATGCATCCAGACATTGCAGAACACATCAGTAGATTTAGTGTGGCTTACTCAGCCTCCATTTATCAGACTATGTCCCAATTATGTTACATTTAGGAAACAGAATAATTTTCTGGTTACAGCACATGGAATTTGTGGCATTCTAATCCTAGTCATCCTGCTGTATGACCTTGGAGAAGTTGTTTTACTTCTCTTTGATGGTAAAAAATTAACTCGCCCCATGGATGGATTTTAATACTGTGCCAAGTTTAAAAAAAATCTTCAGCTAAAGTTAGCCTTCTAAATCCCTATTTAGGGGCTAAATGGGGTCACTTGTTTCCACAATCCTGAGCACCCAGTAACTGTCTCCCACTGAGGCCAGCTAGAGATTTTGGGTGTACAGCAGTCTGAACATGAACTAAAAGAAGAGTGAAAGCAGCTGCTTGTGTGCATGCGAAGAGGAACTCACTGATGTGGTGTGGTGAGACAGGGACAGCAGTCTGTCTTTCCTGAGTGGTTGTCACAGTCACAGCAGTGGGGAAATGTAGATGGGATTAAGCTCACTAATTTTGCTGTCTAAAAGTGGAATGTCTGCCTTTGGCTTCAACATCTCTCTGATGGATCCCTTGGTTCAGTGGATCCAGAGCAACTCTCAGCTGGGACAGATGAGCATTCCCTGATATACCATCCTGCCCACCTATCTGGATGTGGGATGAGTTATCCTCCGGAGACATTCAGCTCTGTTTGTGAAGTAAAGACCTTCCTAAACACTTAGACAGCTTACTCAGGCTCTGGTGATTGTAAAGTCAGTGGGTGAGTTACGGTGCATTAGATAAGCCCAAGAATGTGCCAGAGTTGGTCTTAGCTGCATATCAGAGGCCTGAGGTGTTTGGTCATGAAAGTTATGAACAAGTGAAAGCAGGAGAAATAGTTGAGCCTTGCAAGGAAGAAGAAATATAAATTTGACTGTAGTAATTGAAAACCTTTTCTACATTGATGGCATGGTTTGTTTCCACTGGAGAGCTTTGTTCTGTGTTTGAGGAGGAAGATTAATTTTCCCACGGGAGAAATAAGCTTTGAATAAGTCAGCCAAAAGGGATTGTTCTTATGTGCACCGCACATCTATAGGAGAAACAGAAGACATTTACATGCTCCCTGAGGAGGACCCATGACAAGCAGACAATTAACCAATTCCCCCGAATCCCCAGATTTAAAGAACCACGTAATGGCTTAATTGAGTTGAGTTGCTGAGAGTGTGGCACTGCACTGAGATTCGTGCTGTGAAGTGTGCAATTCCCAGAGGCATCCATCAGGTTTTAGAGAATTGACTTTCCATGCTAATTGACCCAGATGTTCTTGATTTTACCTCACATTCTCCACTTCATTCAATTACTGTTAAAGAGAAGGGAACGAGAATAAAGGGGACTCCATTTGTCTCATTTATTATATTAAAAGGGTGTTTTCCTAAAGAAACATTTTGTAGTGCTGAACAAATTGTTCAACTTGAATTGGAGCAGCATTTATTTCACTTTTTTTTTTTTCCCCCTGAATGACCAAGCATGTATTTTGTAGAAAGTAGAGAATATTAGATTAGCCACTCTGCTTGGCAAGGGAAGAGCAGGCATCACCACCAGAAGAATGAGGGCAGTACAGATGGATGGATGGTGTCTGACCTGTCTGACTAGGCAGGGCTGAGCAGCACAGCATGAGGGCTCAGGGCTCTTGGCTCTCATGCCTTATCTGGTCCACCTGAATAATCAAAAAATGAAGAAGGAAAATTATGGGTTAAGTACTTTTATCTTCTAGAAGGCAAGGAGCCAAGTTTGAGAAATGGGCTTTGCAATGTGAATCAGCAGCTGAACTCTTCCTTGTACCAGGCTAGTGGGCACCTCATCTTGGCAAGCTATGGTTGTCTTTTATATGTGTGTGTAAACAACCCTGGAGCACAATTAGTCCAAGACTGGTGTTCCCAGTGCATTCTGCCTGTGTGCAGAACATGGGTTTTGTTTCTTCTCAGTTCACAAAGCTTAATTAATTTACAAATCTAGTATCTCTGTGTGGTAGGGAATGAGTCCACCTATGTAGCTACATTCCTGAATACCACTGGAGGCTTTTTTCTGTAAGGATGCTGCTCTCTACCTGGTTAATGATTTCAAGTTTACCTCAAATATCACCAGCAAGAGACATGTCGAGGAGCTTCTGTACATTCATATTGAAACAGGCTGTGTATCATTGAAACTGGTGGAGTTCATCTGAGTTTACACAGTTATTAGGGGAGCAGAATTTATCCCAATGCTTGTGATAAACCATATTTTGTATCAGCCAGTCAAGTTATGGAACTCTGCTGTGAAGTGAAGGAGTTAAAAGAGTTTACTTTGCTAAGAGTTGTATGCCATATATGGTCAGTTGAGGCTTTTTTTGCAGCTGTTTTCTTTTTTTTTTCCTTAGGAAGGCTCGCCTCCAAATTGCTGAATCATATTGCAACCATAGACCTGGTGATTTTTCAGAATTTGAGTCATACTTGAGCTCTCTGGATATCAAGCTGTGAAGCCACACGTGGGCTCAACAGTTTGGCAACCCCTAGGTACAGCTATGGCAATATTATATTCAGAGTCCAGATGTTGGGTGGTTTCAGCCACAGCATACAGCATGTTAGAAGAGAGAAACAATATGACTCAAAATTGCTGTTTACTCAATTTAAATACCATGGTTTTTACTGTTCTCAATGATCAGCCTGGATATTAAGAACCAGACTGCTTTAGATCTGTATCCTGTCTCAGAAGAAAGTCTCATGTAACAACCCCACATGAAATGAGAAATCTTTTTAGCATGTTTTGCTCTTGCATTCTTCCTTACCAAGGTCTTCTGTGAGAAACTATCCAGTTAGGCCCATTTCTGAAGCCAGTTATAGATATATCAGGATTATCCAAAAGCAGCAAGATCCTGTGAAACCAGAAATTAAAAAGTCAGGGTAGTACCTGCGATTTGTAAATGTAATATGATCATGTTTTGACTTAATGTTCTGCTTTTCCCTTACAAGCTGCAGTGATTAATTCCTTAGCAATAATTAGGTAAGACAGAGGCAGTCTCTATTAAAGCAGGTTTCTCCTTCAAAGCTTCTGCAGACTTAGTAAGTTGAGCTCCTTCTTGCATACAATTCATTTTAAATAAAGTTCTGTACTTAAAGGAAGTGTTTGGAACTTACTGAAGTTTTGTGCACGTGATAAAAGAGACTGAGGAGGGTCTCAGCAACTTGATTCCTATATCAGTATTTTTTACAAGTAGAGAATTCAGCCTGTGAAAAGAGTTACTGTTGTTTTGTATAGCATTTAAAACAAAGACCTTTCTTTTTTCAGTGAACACTAAATCTGAAAAGGAGCAAACAATGAATCACCTAGTCCAAATTACTTTCTTATGTCTGCAAAAAACACATTGACAAAACTTTGAGGGTTTTGTTTTGGGTTTTTTTGGGTTTTTTTTGAGAATGTGGAACATATAGTAGCAAATTGTTTATTAGTTTGATCTAATTTATCTCAAATTAGAGACCTAAATTTGAGACTTAGACAGCAATGATAATAGGCAACATGTTTAAAAAATACTTAAAAAATGAAAGAATGTTCCTGTGTAAATGTGACTGGTGAAGTTTCATCCTTCAGGCAGAAATGATGATTCCCCTGAGCCTGTTGTGCTGCAACTGAACCCTGAAGGTAATATGCCTGGTAATATACCAGGGTATTTTTCTGGCTGAAGCATTAAAGTGAGCATTTTTGTGGGAAGACATAGTACTAGACCTGAGTAGGACTTGTGCTGGAGCAGGAGACACCACATAGGTGAGCAGGAGGCAGCTTTTGTGTGCCAGTCTCAGTGCTGAGCAGACAGACAGGAGGCTAAAAGGGGAATATTATACTGAAAGAAAGAAGGGATTTAGGGACATGAAGAAGGGGTATTGGAAATAAAAGGGCTTTTTGGGTCTGTGACATGGAAAAGAGGATAGTTTAGTTGTTTTCATGTGGAAGAAGAGTCTTGGAGAGCAAATGAGGAGAATGGCATTAAAGTATCAAGGAACCAAGACAACTTTTTGTTTGCTTTGATTTGTATTTCTGCAGCTGAGGTAAAACTGAGTTCCTCAGAGGAGAACATTAATGGAGCAAAGCAGCACAGGTCCTTCAAACAGAACAAAAAGGCTAGAAGGAGAAAAGACCCAGGCAAATAATATCTTTAGAGAGTTCAGTAACAGCAAAGTGAACTGGCCAGGGAACCTGGACATTTTACAACACATTTTTTTTTTCCCAAAGGAATAGATATGTATAGTATTTATCTAAATAGAAGGTAGTAAGTTTTTGCACTGTTCCATGTGTTCTCCATTTTTCCACTACAGTCAGCTGCCTGAAAGCTCATTTGTTGAGAAAAACAGAAAGTGTTTGAATAGATCTTTCCATGAATACTTTATTGTAAGAGATGAGATCTAAAGGAGGAATTAAGGAAATTTATAGCAGTTAAGGCCTTGCCTCACAGATTCATGAAGATTCTTCAGTCTTCAAATGGGAGAAAGCAGGCTCAGATAAGATGGTTAAGTTCAAGTCAGAAAACATCACCCTCAATGGATCTAACTGCCAAAGCTATTAAAGCAGCTTTTGTGATATGTGTTAATTATTTTTTATGTCTTATCCAGGAGCTCAGAAAAGAATGAATGAGTGGAATCCCTGATGATGTGCTCAGCAGTGGCGTTGTACATTATTGTTTATGACAGCAGAAGGTCAGGTGAGAAATTAATTGGTATGTTGACAGTTTATTTTAGTTCTGGGACAAATATTTTGCTGTTGCACAGTCAAAAATAATATTTCGAGGACGAAGTTGCAGAAAAATGTATATGATATTTCTGTGCATATGAAGTATATTCCACAAGTTTTATTAAAAAATTTGAAAAGAAACTAGAGGAAGATTTTAAAAACATAGTGTTTTGTTTCTTAGGAGCCAGAACCGCTGTAATGGAAGCAGATGTTTACATGGCATACAGGATTTATCACTTAAGATGTCCAAACAGCAATGTAGCAGAAGGCTTGCTGTGTTCCTGGAATTATTAGATGCACATGAAATGCTTAAATTAGTCGAAGACTTAGTCATACTTAGAGCAAAGAAATCTGTGTGCTACTTCATCTCTGCTTAGATTCTGAGCTATTAAGTGTCTTAGATACTGTTAATCCTATTCTGCATTTTATTTTTAACAACATAATGTAGGGTGAACAACCTCAACTCTCTCAGCCTCTCTGATCATCTTTATGGCCCTCCTCTGGACTCACTCCAAGAGATCCACATTCTTCTTAAACTGAGGACCCCAGAGCTGGATGCAGTACTCTAGGTAGGGTCTCATCAGAGTAGAGTAGAGGGGAAGTATCACTTCTCTTGACCTGCTGGTCATGCTTCTTTTAATACAGCTCAGATTGTGGTTGGCCTTCAGGGCTGTGAGCGCACATTGCTGGCTCATGTCCAGTTTTTCATCCACCAGAACCCCCAAGTCCTTCTCCCCAGGACTCCTCTCAAACCATTCTCTGCCCAGTCTGTATTTGTGCTTGGGATTGTTCTGACCTTCCTGCAGGACGTTACACTCGGCCTTTGCATGAATGCACCTCTCAAGCTGGTCCAGGTCCCTCTGGATGGCATCCCTTCCCTCCAGCATGGTGACTGCACCACACAGCTTGGTGTTGTTGGCAAACTCGCTGAAGGTGCACTTGATCTCACTGCCCATGTTGCTGACAGAGATGTCAAACAGTGCTGGCCCGGTACTGACCCTGAGGAACACCAGTCATCACTGATCTCCACTGGGATATTGAGCCATTGACTACAACTCCCATAGTGTGACCATCCAGCCAATTCTTTATCCACTGAGTGGTTCATCTGCCAAATTCATATCTCTAGTTTAGAGACAAGGATGCTGTGTGGGACAGTGTCAAAGGTTTAAGTAGATGGTGTCAGTTGCTCTTCCCTAAGAAATAGTTTTTGAAATGGGATAGTGGTTTTCTCACTGCTAAGATATTGTACAGAAAAATTATTCACTTATTTACTCCAGGATAGTTGGGATCATACTAATTTCTTGGTTTCGTTTGTGTTTTATAAGAAGAAAATCCAAAGTAATCTGTTTGAGTTGCTTTCTGAGAGCTCCAGTTTCACTCACTTCTCCCTTCCATTACCAGAACAATAAGAAGTACCTTTTTTTTCTTAATTGTCCCAACCCCTCACAGTCACACAGTGAGATCTTACTAAGCCCTGTGGTTTTATTTTCCTTGATTCTTCAACTCACTTGAGGGTTTTCAGTAACAGCTCCACATATTTCTTCAAGATTGGGGTATAGATTAGGAAATCCAGGAGTGACAGATTTGGATCCAGTAAGATCAGAGTCACTATAGGACGCTATGGGAAAATGATTGCTAGGAAGGTAAGGAGAGGACCAAGAAAGGTTAAAGAAGTTGTGAGAGACAGGAAATAACTTTTCTAATCCACTGACAATGATGAGTGTATTCTCTCAATCTGTGTTACTTTACCCATATAGCCAGAAAATGAGCTTTACAGATCAGTTTCTAGGAGCATGGGATTTCTTTCAAAGAACATTATTATCTGGGAAATAGATTCTCTTTTTAGAAGTTCTGGCTGTACTTAACCTAAAGAACTTGTCTGGCAAGCACGTGATTTTCTTTTACATCGGTATTGCAAGAATTAGTTCAACCCCCTTTTTTTTGGTACTAATTCTGTTTCTGTAGGCCCTGCAGGAAAATAGTTGTTGACTAGTTCCCAGTATATTAATGGCAAAATAACCTTTTCAAGAAATGGAAATCAAGAGCCTTCTCATTGCTCCTTGGTAGAATACTTGTTTTAAAGAAAAAGATATAACTTAAAAGGAAAATGAAGTGTGTGATTGTAAGTAAATAATGAAATCACAGGTAAAACTGTAGATGCTATAGCTCTTTGCTTAGTCTCTTCATCTCTTTGCACAAGCAGTGGTTTTGTCTATATTGTGACTACTCAGTGGAAAACAGTAGGAACTGTATTCTCTATCCTAGTTTAATGTCAGCTGGCAATCACCTTCAGGACAGCATTCACAAATTACTCTGTGTGCTTGAGAGGAGCAGTTCTTTTTTCCATACAAAATATGTACACTGTATGTTGTACTGCATGGATCACCTGAAAGTTGTTTCTCCAGATGGTATCTGTGAAAGTTCTGAATCATAAGTACAAATGGATCAAGCAATAGCACAAAGAAGGGAAGTAGCATAAAATCTATTTCTATTCTGTATCCTCATTGTGCATGTGTAGTGTGCAGGGAGTATCCCTGTCATGCACGGGTTAGTGTTGCCATCATGCTTTCTAGGCACGGATTTACTCTAGGGTCAGGAGCCTGTTGCCCATTTCCCCTCCCTTCTCCCTGTACTGCTGCCACAGGAACACTGGCTGCTCAGATCATGTGAGGCTTGCACTGTTCTCCTACCTAATGCTCCTTGCAGCTGCATGCAGCCTTTCATGTCTACTTCAGTTTGGGGTTGTGGGTCTGCTGGGAAGGAAATCAAGCCACGAGACATTTTAAGTAGTGGTTTGATCTTTGTCAATGAGATCGACTCAGTTTAGACATGTACCAGTGAGAGGTCAAATCTGGACTGGAATATGTTAAGGGCTGTCAGAACATTGTAAGGGGGAAAGGCAGAATTGCAGCCACCAAGGGTTTGATTCCAACAGAGAGTCTTGTAAATAGGGATGTTTAATAGACCGTGGAGAAGTTAAAAGGAAGGATTAGACAACTGGTGGGGTCAAGTGCACTTAAGTAATCATAAATGCATAGGGTAGTGCTGTAATTAAAAATGCTCCTGCACTCGCTCAGTTGGCCTTGGCATCGGAGCCATGCCTAGTACAGGCATAGCTTCTGTTCTGAGGGGCTTCTGTAGTTGGTCCAAATCATATGAAAGCTTTAAAACTTATACATATGGTTAAACTTAAAAAGATAGGGTGGGAGAAAATACAGTAATGATTCAGACTCTTGAATAAACAATTTAACCACACTGGACTCTGAAGCGAAAGTGTTTGTGATAGATGTTGGGAAAGAAAAATTTTTGCAAACAAAAAAGTTTCAATTCTCATTTTGTCATACTAAAAATAAATTATTTTTTAATGAGTATTTTTGTTAAACAGATTACCCGAAGGGCCGTGATAGATGTTCAACAGATGCGCTTTGATAATGTCTGTAGAAAGCATAAGAATCTTTTTAAAAATAAACCAGCATTTTTTATTGAAAAAGTGTTTCTTTGCTATTTTTACTATCTTTAGAAGACACACAAGAGTTATGCAACACCCTTAGATGCTTAGAATAATATTTCCAATGCACACTTGGCTTGTTAAGTTAAACGAGTATTTTCTTACACACCAGGCCAGAATCATGTGATGAAATTCAAACTGATTGCTTTAGGCTTTCATTCTCTTTGATTACTTATTTGGGTCAGACATTTAGAAAAACGATAAATATAATTTCAAAAATATTGACCTTCTCCTTGAAAACACATTTCTAAATAACTGTAAGAGTTGCTGCTCTGTGCTTTGTGATGTACTTCTTGGTAAGTTCAAGTTCAGACTTACTTATATTTTTTAAGGGACAGGAAGCTGACAAATGCCCTTCTCACTGCAGTGATGGAAATGTATGAGCCTGAGGTAAATGCTGGCAAGAAAGA